CCCTCGGTGGGGACGTATAGTGAGCTGATGAATATAAGTAATAAAAAAAATATTAAAGACACAATGAAACATTTATCTGACCGCACAAATAAGGTATTCAAGGGCTTTTACACAACTTATACATTATTCAATGTTTTTAAATAACATATATTTTATCTTTTACATAATAGCTCTGTTTCTCTCTATTCTATATCAACAAAGACCTAGTTAATACGAACAGAACTCAATTAAAATGTAGTATTCACCGCTTTGAAACTACGTATGAGTAATTTTGAAAAACAATATAGCTACAGAAAAGGTTATTGTTTTTTATTTTAACCTCTTTTATTATTTTCATTAAACCTATACTTTCTTGTTTATGAATAAAACATTCGAATAAACGTGGAAAGAAAAAAAAAATTGGCATGTTTATTGCCAAAGATGACTTCGCTTGTATGAAGTTACAAATCCATTTTTTAAATTAATATGTTATAACCAGTATTTAATATGATGTTTAATAGTGAAATGGCTGAAAAACTAGCTAAGTTTAACTTCTTTTTTACCGTAAGTTTGCACTGCTAAAACACCCGTACAAAACCGTATCGTTCACCCTATCATTTTCTTTGGATGACAATGTTTGTAAGGGCGTTTCTTCGGCAGGTGAAAGTCAGAGTAGGGTAAACCACCTAGTAATTGACTCCTTGTTAAATCACTATCATCTCAATTAATCTGAAATCCTAAGTGTATTTCAGATACCAACTTTATGTTGACGTTTTCCCAATGGAATGGAAGGTTTTCAATGGGTTAAGTTTATTCGTCGAGCGTCAGAGCGTCGATGGCTCAGGGGTTTCATTCTTGACTTGTAATCTGCAGGTTCTGGGTTCGAATCCCGCCATGTACCAATGTGTTTTTCGATTTCCGATTTACATATGAACATTTATTCGACGTTCTTACGGTGAAGGAAAACATCGTGATGCAAGCTGCACATATCTGCGAAGAAATTTAAAGATATGTGTGAAGTCAACCAACCCGCACTGGGCCAGCGTGGTTGACTAAAGCCAGTCACCCCTTACTTAGGGTAGGCTCCGAGCCCCTCGGTGAGGACGTATAGTAAGCTGATGATGATGACGTTTATTCACCGAACGAAAGCTGATAGTAAACTAAACTTAAAACAAATAGTAGCTAAGTGTCAGATCTTTTACGTTATATTACAGTGTCACAACATTTTTTTTTGTAGAACAATATTACTTTTATTAGTCTGGCCACTTGCAAAATGCACCTCGCATTTAACTTTTTTCATAAAAAAAAGAAATGTTTTCTAAACTTCTTCGGTCCGTTTTCGTTCAGAGGCAAATATTACAAACTCCATTTAAGTTGGTGCATAAGTTAATTACGATTCATGCGACGGGCATTTTCTACGATCGTAATAACAAAGACTATGGCGACTAATTTAAATACACGCCCGCTATATTAGATTGCTTATTATTTGATGACATCTTTTATTTGACAAGATTATAAAAGTAAAAATTTATTGGCACGCAGTCACACATAGAGTTGACTAACACGTGTAAAATATAAGTAAAGAAATCCATTAATATAGATTTCTATGGCTTCACTCGTAATAATAAGTCTAAACTAAACGAATTATTGGAAATAACTCTTGAAAGGAGCAGTTAAAATTGTTTCTTAATATAATTTTAATAAGAAGTTCTGTGTATCTTTCAATAGCCACATTTAGTATTCGTTAAAAGCATTTAAGCATAAAAAAACATCAAATCGTATTTATTTGATTTTTAAATCAAATGTTGTTTTTTCAAGATTTCTTAAGAAAATACTTTAGACAATTTTATTATCGTCAAAGTCTCAGCCAATCTAAACAGGGTGACGTAAAAAATAAATCCGTACTTTGTGCTCGTACGTCTGAAGTGCGCAATGCGGCCCCTCTCTGCACAAGAACATTTCGATAAGAATATTTAATCTCATATTTGCAGTAAACATTTCATTCTCGCTAAAATATATAAAAAAAGATCTCAAGAATATAATATTGCTTAGTATTTATTGATAAATGCGTTTTATTTAATTTTGAAACTTGATATCTTTAGTTTGATTTCTTATACTTATTTTAGCATTCACAAAACAGTGATAAAAGATTTTTACAATATTTAATAAGATAGTATGCGACTTTTTATTATGTAAGAAAAATTATATGATATACTAGCTGTCGCCCGCGACTCCGTCCGCGCAGGATTAAAAATAGATGTTGGCCGATTCTCAGATCTACTCAATATGCTCACAAAATTTCATGAGAATCGGTCAAGCCGTTTCGGAGGAGTATGGGAACGAAAATTGTGACACGAGAATTTAATATATAAGTTAATTCTGGCTTTAGTAACAATTGGCCAAATATACTTCTATATATATATATATATATATATATATATATATAGAAGTATATATATATAAGTATGTATATATATATCATAATTATATTGGGTGAATATAAAATCCTTTGTCATAAATCCACAATTACGTTTTCAGATTTACTATCTAAGTAAAATTCTCTTCATTTATAAAGCTTTGTTAAAAGTTAATTAAAACAAATTAGGTTAAACATATAAAATTTAAATGAAGGTAATTTAACCACATTATTTTAGAACTAACGAGCAAAGAACGAATTAACCGTTCTGACAAATAACACAGGATTTTTACATAAAATATCACCTACATATAAGAATATCTTTAAAACAATGAAAATTTAATTAAATTTTTTATATGTATATTATTATATGGTGGTCAAGCACTTGACATTCAATCTGCAGGTCCTGGGTACGAATCCCGCTATGTACCAATGTGTTTTTCGATTTCCGATTTACATATGTACATTTATCCGACTTTCTTACGGTGATGGGAAACATCGTGATGCAACCTGCACATATCTGAGAAGTAATTCAAAGATATGTGTGAAGTCAACCAACCCGCACTGGGCCAGCGTGGTTGACTATGGCCTAATCACCCTTAACTTAGGGTAGGCTCCGAGCCCCACGGTGATGACGTATAGTGAGCTGATGATGATGATATGCGCACTTTTACTGTTACATGGAAGTATCTATTGAATAATTTTACCTCTTTTTAATAACATAAAATCTCATATTATCGGTTAACTAAATACAACCTGTTTATTTTCCTTCTCCATTCACTTAAAATGAGTCTATTCTTTGTATTCCAAATTTAATTAAAAGCTAAGAGTATACGCTTAAGATAATTACAATTGAAAAAGACAAACACATCGCCGCAGCGAGCCAAAGCCCTGCCGCGGTCGTAAACGCGCCGACAAGTGCCAGTAAAGCCAAGCTTTACCGCACCCCTAATCTAGATGCACGTTACATTTGAAATTACTACGTATGCTGGTATTATGAAGGTTGTTTTAAATAATAATTATTTGTTTAAATAATTCTTATTTTGACAATAGAATCTCACGATATACAATAAAGAAAATCGACTACTTCGGCCTTTAGACATTCACAGTCCAAGTGTATTACAAATTGCATCTGCGTTTCGAACCGATATACCCAAACTCCCCCTCCAGATAATTCGCCTCCTCATATTCATTATCTACTTATTTATATTTACATATTATAATAATAAAATTTGAATGTTTGTATGTGATATTAAAAAAAATCATATAAGTGATGTTTGCTTATAACCAAAAATCAGTTTTTAAATTTTTCCCTGCCTGTCGTCTTTGGTAGGGAAGGTAGCTGATACATAGAACACTATTGGCTATTTTTTTTTAATTCTGCGATAACAAAGTTCCAGGTGATCGCTAGTTTAATAATATACGTAGCGATGCAACTCTTTAAGTTGTTAAGAATAACAGTCATGTATAATGAGGGATCGGACTCGTTTGTTTTTTCGTAACCAAAAAATCTTTAACAATTTATATAATATAAATAAGAATTGACGTAGCGTTAATACACATATAGCGTACGCATTGCGGGACTCCATAGTGTATCGTTGGAGAGCATAAATTTGTATTATGCGAGGAAATACAACCTTCATTTGCATGTTTACGAGTCACGATCTAGACACGGGAGAAATAAAGAAAATATTCGACAACGTAACTATTAAATTCTAAAACAGTTACTACATTGTTATAAAAATTATTCGATATTCTTTCTATTGACAAAAACTTTTTTTATATCATAAGGTGGCAAACGAGCGAGCGGCCACCTGAAATCGCTGAAATAGCGAAGTGACCGTTTCCCCTAGGCATATGCAATTGCATATGCGTTGCCTACCTTTAATCGACGGAGGAGAGGATATAAAAAATCTAATACGTTGGCAATGATGTAAACAACACTTTCTCGCAATTTTTCATGCTAGGTCCTTTAGACTTATAAAGCTTTGTTAAAACAAAATAAACTATAATATATAACCTAAAGAAACAGAATAATTTTATTCCAAACATTATTCATATTACCCTGGACCCGAGCAATATCAGTTGTATAAAAAAAGGAAAATGTACATGTAATTTGGAGTACGAGCAAATATCAGGCGCGCTCGTAATCGCGGCGACAAGAGACCGTAAACTGACCGCTGACCGCAGCCTTAATCTAGGCGCGTATTACGCTCTTAGCAACACCCTGTATGTAAAGCTCGATTATATTTTCTACACACCAACACATATTAATCTAACCGGGGTATTAGAAAGGCTTTTGGTGCGGCAATTGTATTGTTTAAACGAATATATAATTTTAAAATAACGATTTAAATTTTTTAATGTTATGACAGATATATGAAATTCCAAACCCAATAACCGAGGCATGATATCGATCAAAAATATATCTTATTTACTTTGTACTAGAAGCGAATACTTAAATGGAATGCACTCTGGTATGTCTATCGAATCGATTTAAAACTTAAATAAATACCTTAATCAAAAACAAAGGATCCAATTCGATTATGTCGTAAGCTACCATTTTTTTTTTGTTTTTGTTTCTATTAAAATTTATATCTTTCAGGACACCACGGCACATCACGGTCACGCGGCTGGCGAGCGCAACCTTCGTCAGATGTGACGGCAAATAACTCAGTAAGCAATGTCACTGCGCAACTTGGTGGCACAGCTTACTTGCATTGTCTCGTCGGTCATTTGAACGAACGAGGGGTATGTATTTCATACTGCAATCATTTTTTTTTACTTTTTTTCAGATGTATTAGACGATGTTTGTTTTTTGAGTTGGCCCTTCACTGATGGCACTTGACAGCTGTAATATTTATGAGTTTTAAGGGTGGGGGATATGGATTTAAACATCAGTTGTAACATTCAAGACAAAAAATTAAACTTTTGCAAAATTATGAAACTGCAAATATTTTACTGAAAATTAAATTTTCCTACAGTAGCCTTATCGGTGGTGTAACAGCGGTATAATGTAATTGTAAGGTTGTATTGTTTTTCCAGCAAGTGTCGTGGATTAGGAAACGCGACTGGCACATTCTAAGTTCCGGTAAATTTACATACACGAACGACGAACGATTCCAGGTAAATAAAATTTAGTTTTAATAACTATGTCCAATCTATATAGAGTTATTTACAATAGTAATAAATTTACATTTAAAAAGTTATCGACACAATGTGCATTGTGCAATAACAAATTATTTTTTTAAATTCGTAATAAAATAGCACTCAAATATCTATATATGAATTCAATAGAAGTGAGAAATTATATAAACACTTCAGTGTCCGACCATATTTATTATCTATGGACTTATTTTGGAATGTTTCAATATTTAAATTTGTGATACAAACAATTTTGTAATAATAAGTAAGATTAAAGTTAATAATAATAAGTAAAATTAATAATAATAAGTAAGATTAAAGCATTTTAGAGGTAAAATTGTGTAGACTCTCTCATAGAGATTTCTCATTTTAATTGTATTCCTATCATCAGCTCACTATACGTCCCCACTGAGGGGCTCGCAGCCTACCCTAAGTTACGGGTGACTAGACCATAATCAACCACGCTGGCCAAGTGCGGGTTGGTTGACTTCACACATATCTTTTAATTTCTTCTCAGATATGTGCAGATTGCACCACGATGTTTACCTTCACCGTAAGAACGTCGGATAAAGGAACTTATGTAAATCGGAAATAAAAAAAAAAACATTGGTACACGGCGGGATTCGAACCCAGGACCTCTAGATTGCAAGTCAAGTGTTTGTCCCCTGAGCTACTGACGCGCTCCGTACATAGAAATAAATATTTATAAACAAAATAATGTTAGATACGGATACACAAAAGTTTATTTTAAGCCAGTAAATTTACATTGCGTTAACCACTTTTTAGTAATTAAAACGACATCAATAAACATAATTACGGATGGGCAGTTTGTTACAAATGTTACAGTTTAAATTAACATTTGGCCAAAGCTAATGAATATGTAATTTAATGCGGTCTAATTTGAACGAGAAATTGTCGACGATAGCTAACGATTGGTCAATTGATCGGGAAACTATTCGATTCGATATCCGCGTCCGTGATGCTTTACGCTAGTTTTAAATGAAATCGCAGGGAGAACGATTCGCTACGTTTTTGCTCGATCGAGATGCTTCCGTAGCTCTAATGACGTGCGATTTAAATTTAACGCTTTCACTTTATTGGCGACTATTCGCTATGCAGGGGACCGTTTTTTGTTGAGTATAATTATAAAAACAATTGAAAATCAATGGTTGTTCGTTCTCTGTGCATATGTAATTTCATGATCAAGGTATGATGAAACTTTATTCATCTGAAGGTGTCCAAAAATGTTAATTCTCTAAGAAATTTTAATTTACAATCTTACATATATATTAAATTCTATTGTCAGAATGTTAGTTACAAAAACGGCTTGACTGATTTTTATGAAATTTTATATAATCAGTAAGTTTGACTATCAATTACTATCTATTTTTAATCAATAACATATCTTTCGCAGGTCCTACACGGCGAGGGCTCTGAGGATTGGACTTTGCAGATTAAATTTGTGCAGAAAAGAGACAATGGCACATACGAGTGTCAGGTAAGTGCAATATGTTCTTATAAAGTTTTATACAGAGAGTTACTTTGTCGGACTATTCAGTATAAAGGTGTGTAGCGAGTTTTAAACGTATTTTTTATATCAAACAAATGGCAAACGAGCGAGCGGCCACCTGAAATAGCGAAGCCCATTGACATAAGCAATAGCGAATGCGTTGCCTCTCATCCAGAATCTCCACATCCATTTCCAATCCTTTCTTTATGAGAAAGCCTGGAAGGGAAAAAGGACTAAAATTAGGCATCCGGGACTCACACTTATTAGACGAAACGCAGAATTGCTTCCACTTCACGCCTGTCTTCTGTATGGTCGTGGTATTGCACCGGGCGAGCCGGGTCAACTCGTGCGAAGATGTTAAACCGGGCTCTACCACTGTAGAAATATAGGTAAGAAATAGCAACTCAACAACAATAAAATTATGCGTTAAAAAGTACTTGAAAATGTAAGCATATCAAGCCAAAGCGAAACATGAAACATATATAAACCTAACATGAATTCAAAATAAGGTTTAATGTTAATGATATATGAACACTAAAACTCAAATACGCGAATACCAATTTGTTTTGGTTAACGAATGTTTAAACAGCGATTATTTATGCAAGTGCCGACAAAACGCAGGTGCGGATTGTGCCTGAATTAAATGAAATTGCGATACAATACGTAATAGTAAATGTAAACTGAAGATTATAAAATAGAGTTGTATTTAAATATAAGCCAAGCCACAAGATATACAATCTACTAGTTGTCGCATGTGACTCCGTCTGTAAGGAATTAAAAGAAAACATAGTAAGTAGCTTATGTGTTCTTCCAGATTACATTTTACATCTTTACTAAATTCCATCCAGATCCATGCAGCCGTTCTGCAGATACTTTTAATAAAACTTACATCCATCCATCCATCTAAACATTCACATGTATAATATTAGTAAGTAGAAGTACTGTCTTCCAAATTTAATAAATAACGCACATTGATAGACGATTAGACTTAAGATGAGAAATCTACACTTATCGTTAGCTAATTGCTCGTAAAGACTAAGGTTTAGTCATCACTGACGTAGGTAGGCTCAAGGAGCTTAGTGGAGAAGTATATGAGCTGTATAATAATTCACTATTAGTAACTGTTTAAATAACTCTCTTACTTGGTTTCTGAGACAAACATCCCCGTAAAAAATAAACTGTTATCTGTGGGTCACGATATATTTTATAAAGTGATTTTGGTCTCAGAAACCAACGCTTAATCTATCACACTATAAACGGTAACGTAACAATTCACGGGACCAAAAGATTTATTCAAGAACGAAGTGATTCTTGTTAGTAATAAAGAGAATGTAAGCCTTTAAGTATATTTCTATTAAGTTTCATTAACGCAATCGTTTGAATACTTCCCTCTTTAATAGCATCAATAACAGTTACACTAAGCAAGGGAATACAATGTTTAAGCAAACAATTGAAATGTTATCAGACGTTTTAAAAAATTCAGTTAATGCAAATATAGGGAGCATCACCTGGTAAATGTAAATCACCCCTAAGGATAAGCTCCGAGCCTGTCAGTGAGGACGTATAGTGAGCTGATGATGATGATGATTATGATGATGGTGAAATGTTGGTTTAATTGTTTGCTATTGCATTATTTTTGTAGAACATACATTATTTAATTCTTGATTGATATGCTTCTTATTTGGTTTATCTGATTGAGAAGCGTTTAAACATCTTAGCTTAATCTTACTAATATTATAAATGCTAATGTTTGGATGGATGTTTGTCCGAAGATATCTCCAGAACGGCTGCACAGGTAACACTGAATGGCATATATATAGAACATAATCTGGAAGAACACGTAAGCTACTAATTAAGTTTTTTTTTAATTCAGTGCGGGCGGAGTGGCGGGCGACAGCTAGTAATGATAAACGCGCCAGTGGAAACATGGTTTTAGACTGGTATAACTAATATTATGATCTGAGTTATAACAATGCAAACATATTCTATTGCAAATGTACGAATTTGCTCGAATGAATTTGCATATAATTGAAATGCATTAATCCATCGATAGATGGAGCCACGACATCAATCAGTACTTCATTATAGGTGATTCACCACACGTACGTCATTTCGAATGAAATCAACTTATTAAAATTGTTTCATAAAATGGCTAGACTTTTATAATAATTAAAGTTACTCTAAGCAAATTTGTTTTTAAAAAATTCGTCCTATTTAAAAATTCATTGAAATTTCGTTTAAACATAATTCTCATAAAGTAGGTTGTGTAATAAAAGTGCTCTAAGCTTTCAGAAGTTCGCGTAACAAATTAAACAAAGCGCCGAGTGCCGCAGCTTCCGTAGCGTTAACACGTAGCAGCGCTACAGAAGACAAACATAGTCTTAGTTGTGTGAACACACTGCTACGAAACTCATGTTTATTAATCAAGAAGATATATAGACATTGTCTTTTTATACAAAACTATGAAACATTACTATGTCACATTCGGTAACTTTTTAAATGTAGAGCGTAAGTGGCTTAGGGGTTAAGCACTTGATTTGCAATCTGCAGGTCCTAGGTTCGAAGCCCACCATGTGCCACTGTGTATTTCAAATTCCAATTTACATATGTACATTTATCCGACGTTCTTACGGTGAAAGAAAACATCGTGATGCAACCTGCACATATCTGAGAAGTAATTCAAAGATATGTGTGTAGTCAACCAACCAGCTCTGGGCCAGCGTGGTTGACTATGACCTAGTCACCCCCAACATAGGGTAGTGGAGATGTATAATATAGTGAGCTGATGATGAAATAAATATAACTCTTAGTCTTATCATATCTACAATTGCAAAACAGTTAAAATTTGTATAAATTTTCTTGTAAATTTTATATTTCTTGGCGAAAGGTATTTTGAAGGAAAGCAGCGCAGGTAATCCTCCTGAAGCGTAAAGCCTGCAACGCTAAGATCAACAAAGCCTTCTTTGTATACTGAAATATAGATGGAAATTGCGGAAGCTTTCTGCAGACTGTACAAACTGGAATAAATAAAATATTAAATTTTTATTTGTCACTTAGCATTAAGTAAATATTTAGTAATAAACACATTACAATATTCACTTAATCTTCTGAATAATAAAAGGTTTAAAAATCTTACGTCTTATGTTACTAATATTATAAATGCGAATGTTTGGATGTAAGGATGGATGGATGTTTGTTTCAAGGTTTCTACGGAGCGGCTGCATGGATCTTGCTGAAATTAGGCATATATGCAGAACATAGTCTGGAAGAACACATAGGCGAGCTAGTATTTAATAAAATAAAAAGCTTATCGAATAACTTTGCATTTTAATTGTACATTTGATATTTATTATTTATATTTTCGACATTCTACTTTGGAATTGTGACTTAAGCTAATATTACATACAGTTAACATATTAATCCATATATGTGTTTGACATGTTATGTTAGACATATTTTGTATCCCCCTATATACTCTGAAATATTCATTACACTTCCTGCTAGCGTCGAACTAAATTATTTGGCACTTGAGACGCGGAGGGCGGATGAGGCACACCCTCTACCCTTTCATGTTATATTCATGTCTCGCTGTCATGGTTTTTTTATTCGAACCAGACAAGATTTATTTACGGACGTAATCACCAACACTCATTAATTTGTCTTTAATTTTATAACAAGTTACTAAGTACCAAGAAATAAAAAAAATCAAATCAATAACGAAAAACATTTTATAAGTACATATTAGATAGTGACATCTCTTGGGTTTCTTTAGAAATTAATAACTACGCAATACAAAAGTGTCTGTTTATTTAATATAGATGGAGCTAGTAGCATCGAGATGTTCGTTATTGCCTGATGAGCAATGTATGCTTTTAAAATTATAAGGTGGCAAACGAGCAAGCCGCCACCTGAATTCGCTGAAATGGCGAATCAATTGCTGCCCATAGACATTAGCAATTGTAGATGCCTTGTCTATCTTAAATCGATGGAGGAAACGCGCGGAAAGAGAATATTTTCCCTATCTATGCGTCGCCTCCTCCATCAAATCCGCTTCACCTTCCTACTCTTTTCTTGTAAGGAGATTCACAATTTTTTATCGCGATAGTAACATCACCGTTGCGTTTGAAAAAAATATTTAATCTTTAAATTTGAAAGTTAAATTACACTTACCTATACCAGGATTAACGTCGATCCAAATCTAATTAAAGTTGTAAACTTTCCTTCGCGGATAATCTCCAAGCGACTCTTACCTTGTACGAATATCAAGTTAGAAAACCTCATAACTTAAATACAATGTTTATTATTTTACATCACAGAGATGACGTCAGCTATTAAAATAAATTGAGAAAGTTTAACATGACAACAAAGTAGAGCAAAGAAATGGATATTTCTTCATACATGAAAATTAATATCTTTTAAGTTACTTAATTTGTAAGAATCTTACTTTATTATTTACAGTATAAAATAATATCATGGGAAATAAATACTCGTAATTTGTACTTAGAAAAGTTAAGAGGTCATCACGTAAGTAAAATTTATATGAGACTAACACTTAAAGACTGTTTAAAGAACCCTAATAAGACTCTCGGTGCAACAATAATTTTTAAACATACTAGCCCGCAACTTCCTCCGCGCGGAATTAAAACAAAACTTAATAAGTCGCCTATGTGTTCTACCAGACTATGTTACGCATCTATGCCAAATTTCATCGATACCCGTTGACCTTTCCGAAGATATTTTCAAACAGACATCCATCCATCCATCCAAACATTCGCATTTATAATATTAGTAAGATATATCTGTACATTTAATGTTTACTCATGACCAATTTTATTATTCAAATTCACTCGTAATTTTCTATTAGAATCGTCTATTCTTGTCTATTGTTAAGTCTTGTTCACACAAGCGTTGTAAGCCGCTTATTATTGCCCAGCGGACCGTTCCCTCTACGACTCTTAGTTCTATGTTTAAGCTATTGTCGAAAGAAC